TAACGAAAACTGGAATTAGCAATAACTTTGAGTTATTCTTTTATATGCTTTGGTGTAGATCTACCTTAATCAAAAAAACAAAATGTTGTCAACCTTTTCTCATACAGGAGGGACCAGACAGATACCGTGGAGATGCAAATTTTGTACACCAAATCTAAAAACTTCCTGTCGCTGTATAGAAACACGACAATATTGGTCACAGGGGAATGAAATGCCCTTTCCAAGTTTGGTATAAAACAAAAATCGAAGCAAGGCTTCACTTTGTAAAGTCATAGAATAATGCACACAGCTGCACAAGAATAATCCAATCACCCACGGCGGTACATTATCTCTTACCTTTCAGCCGGCCAATCAAGGGTCTCGATGAATGCAAACCGGGTCCACGCTCCCGCCATCATTCTCACAAGGCAAATGACCGCAGAAACCAATAACTGTCACTGGTCATTTGGCACCACCAGCCTGCACGCGCGGTCGTCATTTCATGCCTCTTTATCGGGAGTCGCAGCTACACCAGTTGTCTTCTTCCTCCGTTCATTTCCGATGCTTCCGGAATAAGCAGGTGGAAAACTTTTGGCGACAAAAAAACGAGGATTTTCTACTCAAAAGTTTCTGGGATGTCAGTTTTGGCTGCCGTAAGTCTCTGATCGGTTCAGATGAGAGGGGTCACAGAAACGATACCGTGTGCACTGGCAGGCTCGAAAACTGCCGTTTCGTTGTTCTTGATTCAGTTCACCAAGATTTCCTTCTTACAGGGCCTGTTGGGTCATCTTTAATATCGTTAAAATGATTGAAATTTACAAACCTTACAATCACGGAGTCTAAATCGGCCTAAGTTGCCCAACGGTGCGGACCTGTGGTGTTAAATGTAGTTGATCAATTGAAAATTACGTCTATTTCCTTTCTTGATTTTTACAAACAGAACATTTTGTTCACTAAAACTATTAACGGCAAAGAATAACAGCTCAAAGAGTTTCAACACACACTTAAAAATCACCGCCAAATGGGTGGGAGCTATCAGATGTTTATTTAACCGGTGACATATTGCCATCAGACGACAGTGGAGAGTGTGTTTAAAATGAAATTGATACGATTCACCCCGGCAGGAGAGAGATTTAGCAACCGCTGGCCAGGGATTTAGAAGATTACCTTCGGTTCATCTTGAAGTGAGTCTAAATGAGACCAGAGTAGATCGGTTAAAACCGGCCATCGATCGTATAAATTGAATCTGTGGCACTGCTGATTCCGCCAAACGTTTTAGCTTGACTTTTTTTTTGGGGGGCGGCACTTTTGTTCAAGCGGGAAGTGAAATATCGTATGCTTGCGCTGCCGGCTTCCGTTTGCCAGAGATGGTTGTTGGGTTAAAATAAAATTGGGCATTCCTTTAATTTGTATCATGTGGGAATTGCTATGGAATGGAAAGGAATTGGGATAATATCTGTGGGATTTTCGGCCACTTTAAACCATTAAATTGGATTGCACGGAATAAGCCTTCCTTCGCATTCAATTAAAATTGTTGTGTGGTTCAATACGGATAGCATGGCGAAAGTTGGTTTACACATAGATGTAGAAACTTTTTGTCTGGATGCGAATAACGTACTTCACAGTTATTTGGTGGCTATATTTTGAACTGTGCAAAAAATATTATTTGAACTTTGAAGCTACTATTAGACGTATTGATAATGCACGCAAAAGTTGAAAAGGAAGCAGTTTTCTCACGTTAACTACATTTGAGTCAGTATCAGTACTAATCAGCTGAAACTTTAAAGCAAATACACGATAATCGCTTTCTTTTGGCAAGGTAAATTTGTCACACAATGTTAATGTGGACACTATACGTCCATTTCAAAATATAAAGAGGACAAAATCTCAAAGCAGCATGGGTGCCTGAAATGAGACAAAATACAAATGAACAGCCAATCATTGAAATGCTCCTTAAACATTCGAGAGACCTTCATATTTTCATCTTTCCTTATCGTTCTACACTTTGCTGGTAGCACCCAGACAGGTCTGCGGGATTAACCCCACTGAAAGTCCCGTCGAATTCCGTACCTCGTTCATCAACTATCTACGGTAGATGTAGCCAGACAATAGCACCGACTGCTGGTGCGCGCGCTCCCGGGATCCGGTGGACCGCCGCACGTGGCCGCGGGACATTTTCCGGAAGTTCAGACTTGGGGATCGGTGTTGCGCCACGACATGGAACGGGACTTGAAGGAACATTTGGCGTCGAGGCACGGCATGCCGTAATAAAAACGACAGGTACACAGGGACAAGGACTGCCAATTCGGCATGGATCGCACTTACTCCCATAAGAGAACCCTGCGGGCAAGACGTCGGGTATAGAAATCGAGGAAATCTCACTCTTACAGTGTCAACATGTACAAAAATGAATAGTGCTTATGAGAAGTGGGAGACTGAGTTGACAGAAGGCGTCCACTCTGCCCACACTTTTAGGTGTAATACAAAGACCTGCAGTCAAGAAATGGAAGACTTGTAGACTCTTCAAAATTCTAATCTAATATCATACTGTAGAGTCATTCACCTTGTGTCACAAAAAACCTTTTGTGAAGTTGGATAAACCTGCGCAGACAGAGGTTCACTGCTTTATCATGGTAAGTTTCGCTCGTGACCTAGTGGTCGAAGTAGGATCCTCAACCCGAGGGGTGCCAAACCGTCAGTTAGATGGATGGCTCCGATTTACCGATAACCAAGGCATTTCTTAAGGATCTTCGGGAGAGCAGATGTGCTGGTAATTCCCGCGCTTTGCGTCTGCCGTAATACCGGGCAGGTGACGTGCCGGGGATTGGCTAGCCGCGGCCGGTCCGAGCGCAGCGCGACTTAAGGGGGAGATTTGCCCGGCCAAGGAATATTATTCTCGGATTGCGATGGCAACATAACGAGAGAAAATGTCTGTTATCGGATAATCTCTCTGCGCAATGATGACGGCGAACTTCAAAGTTCCATGGAAAGCTGCTCCTATAGGTAACAAGCTGACGAGTTAACACCATTTTTTTGAGCGATGCACTTCAAGTTTACTTTCGAACAGATCTCTGGTAAAGTCCCTTCGTAAAAATTTCTCGTTGGCATTGGTCCACAAATCACGAATCTGAATACCTGTTCTCACCTGCAAATGAAATCTTCTATGTACTAGCTGTTCTCAACTTTGACTACAGTATACACCATTTTGTTACCCATATTATTAAAATAGACAGATGGAACAACCATGGAACAAATAAAGTTTGTATTAATAAAAGGGATTTCCATGTATACAGGAGAGCTTTGACCCGAACAGATGTAAACTTCAACATCGGGTTTTACTCTTAAGTTGTCCTTGGCTAAATGAGAGACAAAATACATTGCTACAATTTGCATAATGTGGCTCAACGAACATCACAGATTTTCTGTCCCTGGTGTTAAAATATGAACGGTCGGTTGGGGATTGGACGTTTAATACAGAACAGTGGTGGTGCAAACGTCACTAGGGAATAGGAAGCTAGTAATCCTCGTTTAGGCCTAAGCTGCTCACCTTTCAGCATGCCCAGTACAGAATATTTGACGTCCTAGTTACACTTGCTCAAGTTATGAAATAAAGACAGAAAGAGCTTCACAAAGGACGGAAATGTGGCCCTTGAAAGTATATGATTCTTTTGTTAGTGAATGGCTTTCGGTCAAAGCATCCATCTATCTTGATCATTGTGTACCCCTGCACGGAACAAGGTCTTGGAATTCGTTCAATCTACCCCCCTCCCCAGTCATTTAGTGAATCGGTAGTCTAGCACCTGGTGTACCTTCTTGGCTGTCAGCAAGTCAGCTGTTTCACAAAGTCGAAGTTAAATTTGTCATGGGCGTTTGTTCTTCTTCTTCGAATGCATTAGAATTTGAGAATTCCAAATCCCTCATTCCACACTCTGCGGCCTCCCAGAATATCTTGGCTGTACAGGCGTAAACATCAGAGGAGTCTCTTATGGTGAAAACCGCTAGTCAAGTGGCTGCAGTCCTTTTCCATACCTTTGCGTGTAGTTATGGGCGGTAGCACAATGCGCGTTCGGATAGGGTCGACAAATTTCGCGCGTTGTGATTGGTCAACACGTTGCAGACTCTTGGGGGCGCACTATTGTGAATCGCCCGTATTGTTTTGAACCCAGCCCAGGTGGAACAATGGAAGCACTGACTCTGGCCAAAAGTGAAATTCCTTCTTACTAATGTTTGCCGTTTTGCGACAGTTCTTCTTATAGAGGTTTACGCGTTAACGTGTCCTAAGACGGCAGGCGTTTTGTATCACTGGGATAGGCTCGAGTAAACCTTTTGTGCATTCCTTGCAACTACGTGTACATCAAATAACAAAGAACGTGTAAGCCTTCGAGACAAAATGGAGACACCCCCAACGCACAAGCTCTACACGCATTCCCAAAGCAGCGTCCGATTTGTCTCGTCATCATCCTGTCCTGTAAGTAATCTTTCCGAAATCCCCTTTCTTTTTCACTTCATTGCCACTTCCATTTATTCTTGTTGTTTATTCTCCGCCAGGAATACGCCCGTTCCCTGCCTGCAGAAAAACCCATCTCGTGCGTTTGCTGTGACTGCCTCGCCACTGCATGTTTTGGGCCTGTTGGAATTATTGCCAGCTGCATATATTTAAGACTTGGCCTGCCATTAACCAGCTGCGGCTCTAACAAAATTGTCTCTCGCGATTCTAACATTCCAGCACCCCAACTTCCAAAATCTCCCACACAGACAAAACCTTAATCCCTAAGTCTCAAATGACAGTTCGTGATCTCTTGATTTCTCCTGTCATTTTGAAACTTTTCACAAATCTATTATCAGAGATTTTTCTTACTATTGAGTGTTATAAGAACAAAGGAAAACAATGAAACATTCCTCCTTTTACCAGATGCTAAAAGTTGAATCACCAACTGAATGAATAACGATGTCGCATTAAAAATACAATTCCAACGAAACTATAAATTCATCAAGAAATTCTACACGCATACGAACAAGGATTTCGTGACATCTGTCCGAAGCATTCCGCTCTCCTGTTTTATTTCAGCCTTTTTGTCACATTATAAAATTGGCACAAAATCTGCACTGAGATTAGAGTGAAACAAATACTGTGAACATTGTGCGAATGTTGTCAGCAGTTAAAAAAAGACTATGAAATCAGACTTTAACGGCAAACGTACATTATTTCAGTGCAGAGAAATCCCTCTTCAGGTTATATACTGCAAACTCAGCCCGCTGTCAATCTAAGATTACCAGAATTGGCAATTTTGTGCAATGTACGTGTACCCTTTTCTTAATAGTTTCCCACACGAACACAGATGACGAATAAGAACTTTCCTATTCACATATCCACTACAATACATAACTGTCGCACGGGCAAAATACAATCAACATCTTGCTGTAAGGGCACAATACAAGTCATTCTTTCATATTACGTAAAGCTAAAATAAAACATAAATTTTGCAATTTAGTCCTGAAAAATTTCTAACGCTAATAATAACTGGGTTCCAAGATATCCCGTTTTAATATGATTGTGAATTTCTAAAACATTTACAACTTTGATAAAATGTACATGACAGACTATTTACAAAAGTAGATCAAAGATCTAATAATATGATAGGACATCTTTTGACGTAAATGCTACCCCAATTTATCGGTACATGACATTGTGCATCTAAAGCAGTTTTACATGCAGCGTTGGGAGACATTGAAGCATCTGATTAAACCACAAAAACATTATAATTATAATGTTATAATACCTCAACTAGGCTAAAAACAAAATTCCATCAAAAGTACAGCCGCTGAGCACTTAAAAAATAGCCCCAGAGTGCCACACATCAGCAAAGAGTACCTTGATTTCAGCGTTTGAGGTTTTCACACCATGGTCGACATATGGATCGACGGTTGCCATTTCCCCGCGCAGTTTCAGATATCAAACTACACTTTCCAACATTCACAACTCTGAAATGGAGAGATAAACCTCTCGTGAGCTGGCTAATATTCCTTCCTACGATCAATCTGCAGAGCTATCAAATTTTGGCAACTATGCGTAGCTCTTGGATATCATTAACAGATTGTGAATGATTTCTTATTTTTTATATACTGAAGGCCAGCTGTTGTTTTCTAGCCGCCGGTAAGACTTAGACGAAAAAAGAGAGAAAGGCCTACATATACCACGCGTAATTGCCTATTTTTTTATTTTACTACGGACTACAAAATCCACATTTCTCCTCGAAGCCACGACAAACACCAATCGTCTGGTGCATTTGGCATCACTGGTTGCCTCAACGACCCTGACGTGGAAAGCTAAATACCCAAGCTATATACACTATTGCACACAAAAAAGTTTAATGACATGAGTCTGTGAAGTGTAACTTGATTTTACCTCATGCTAAAGTTATTGAAAAGAAATGACGCAAGTGAGTGAAAAGAAAAAGCAGGAACTATCATCTGGTTTTGCCAGCGATTTCCTCGTACATTGACGTCTTTTGATAACATTGACGTCGTTTGATACTTCACTGACATTTGGTGACTGTATAGAGACTACATACTTGCAGTAATAACGAATGTAACTTTAACATCGCCACTCTCGAGTGCCCATATGACATTCGCTTACTTCACTAGTGGGACATGGTGTACATGTGTGGCGCTTCCAACAAAAGACAGAAGAAAAACGAGAAGGGGGGGGGGTAATTACACATAATATTATGAGGGTCGTTATCAAGGTTGACCGTTGAGCGTTGCGTACTGACAGGCTGAGAGTGTGTGGTTCTGGACCGGGTAGGTGAATCCCCCAACCCCGCCGGAATGTTGCTTCGCCTTCAAGCACAGTGACGCCAAACTCCCAGACCCCGGCTCGGCCCGATAGACGTACGGGGAGGAGCCGTGCGGACAACCCGCTGTCCCTGCCGCCGCAGCCGCGGCGGCCCCTGCCTGGTGACCCAACGGGCCCAGGTTCTGGTGAGGGGTCACCCCGCCCATTGGTGCCGAGGAGAAGCTCGGGCTAACCGCCGACTGAGGAGGGTTGAAACACATGGGCTGCGAGGTGACCGAGCCCAGCGAGTTGAGCGACCAGGGGAAGCTCTTAGCGGCAGCGGCTGACTTGGCGGCCCAGTTGTTGTAGGAGTAGCCGGAGTATAAACCGTCATCGAAAGGCTGCATCAGACCGTTGAACTGAGAGCCAAAGCCGTTCTTGAGCTCATTCAGCTGGTTCCTTTCTCGCTTCCTCCACTTGGCTCGCCGGTTCTTGAACCAAATCTGCCAAAAAAAAGGTACAAAGCCAGTGCACGTAAGGTTGAAAAAGTCGGGTCCGGATTCAAACAGAAACACTAATTCCCAAGTATTCCACTACATTAATGATCAAGGAAGCAAGAAGCTCCATTTTACACTTTTTCAGCACAGCTTCCGAAACTAGCTGTCTGGAAATAATGAGCATCCTGTTTAACTATAAATAAAGTCGTCAGGGGGTCAATTCTTGCTCAAAATGCTCAGTTCATTTGCAGTGAATTCATACATCTTCATCAGATTGTGTTTTATACTTTTCGGGGGATCACAAGAAAAACTCCTGCCAGCATGCTTGCTACCCCTTGCCTGACAGACCCAACAGCATCATTCACCATCATCGTCGTGACAAAAGTACAGTACCCAGTCTCCCCACCTGCAAAACCAATCATCCACGTGCTATCCTCCCAGACAGTCTGCGTCACGCTTTGCACTTTTTAATCGCTCTTGCGAAAACACCTTCTCACAATGAGCGCCTCTGTGTTGCACATTTAATGTCCAATTTCTGACGTGGAGCGCAGGCCTGCGAGTCTGTGAGAAAATGTCAGCATGTCAACGTGAGGTGTGAAGGTCTAATGTGTATAGGGACGTCGTTTAGTCCACTGCGTAAGTTTTGAGCGGTGGTGAATTGAATTCAACAAATCCCGGCTCAAATCTCTATAATCACGTGAGATCTTCGATTAATAGACTGCTCATCCATGTTCACTTGTTAAGTTCTCGCGGGAGGATTTTCTTTAGAACCAGATCCTCACACAGCGCACATTTTCCAGTGAGAAAGCCAGTGCATTAGGCGGAGCAAGCCGCTAATTCCTTTAAGAAACAGCAAAGAATAAAATTTACATAGTCATAAGGTTGAATGCCCTTTCTGCAGTTGAATGACTTCGGTTCAACGGTTGGACTAACTAACATTTTCTTTACACTATATGCAAATTGGCAGGGGATATTACCATACACATGCCCCATGATTCGAACCATCACGCCACACCACAGTTTGAGTTATTTACATACATATGTCTGAACGCTCAAACGTTTGCTGTAAAAGTAATGGTTGTCGCGTTTAGTATTCCACAGTTTGGTTTTAATAATGCTTGTCTGAGGCATACAAATGTAAGCCTCTTGGTTGTGATTTAAGCGTCTTGCACAGGGAGATAAAGGTACACTGTGGTCTCTGTCAGTTCATTACAATTTCGGTTTATTTGACTTGCTTTTAAAGTTATACATAATATTTCTGACATCAGCTATCCCGTTTGATTGTGTAAATTTTAGTTTATTCACTGTTTTAAGTTTCCAGCTCTTTCTTGTAATTTTGCCAAGCTGCGGTTGCACCCACGAATATTATCAGAAACCATTTACATCGGAGGTTTTTAAAATTACTTATCGCTCACGATGCCTTGCGCCATTCCTGAATCTTTCTTTTTCTGTTGTTGGCGATTTAACTGACATAAAATGATTTAAAATGATATCTGCCATCAGGAGAATTTGTGCATCACCTGCGACGTTTTTCAGGGACATCTTTTAAAGTGACAAATTCAGGAAAGTCTCGGAAGCAGAGCACTGTTTCAGGGTTTCAGTGGGACTCGCTGCTACAACTATATGACACATTTCGTATAGTTTGTGGTGGAGACAGACAACCGTCCATAAAGTTCAGTTCTTGGCATTCTGTTTTTCTTTTTCTGTCCAGTTTACAGACGAAGTTGTGACCATTCGCCAGAGGGCAAAATTACGTCTGACAGCCCCACTGCCACCATTGTAACGTCTTTACTGTTTTTGTAATGTCTCATAATTCCAAAGCCAAACGATGCCAATTATACTGGCCAGACAGTGATTATTGTAACCCAGCGGGTCCTTTGATTCCGAAAATTGACGAAAAAGCTTCTTAATTTCCCCATGGTCTAGGAGTTAGAAGAGATGACAAAGCGTATCAACTGAAGGAACTCCGTTGCGTCTTAACCTATTTTTCGGTGGTGATATTTTCTCCGATTTTGTGGGTCACGTCAAGGTTGGGGTGTCATTTTGCAGCGCACCGTCAGGTGATGACAGCTCACGGACACTACCATCGCATGCCATGTGAAACCATTTTTACGGCGAATTCCTTTCTCCCCCGCGCCACGGATGTTATTATGGCTTTGCCAGCCGTCTGTACTTCTAGTGCCGAGCGACCCGGCCGCCTCACCCTCCCGACAATTAATCCGCCAATTGGAGAGACGAGTGACACATCTGATTGGAGCAGACGCGCGCGCCGGCGCACTGGCAACGCCAAGCCCTGCGTTTTACCTTTCTTCATGGGTTGAAGAAGCGGGTTCTCAGGACGAAAGAGCTCCACTAACCATAGGTAATCGCAGTTAATTATTTCGTATTGGCCGAGTTACTCCCAGAATAAGCAGAAAAGATCAATCACCCTGAATCTTGTCCACAGATGAAAAATCCATACGGGGCTTACAGTAGAAATTGGCAAGACTGGAATGGAATTAGCAGCTGATGGAGGCTTAACTTATATTGCCTCATTCACATTGTGGGCAAATGGAGGCACTGTTTACAGTCAATGCACAACCTGCGTGTTACAACAGCTCTAAGGCTGAGGATAAGCACAAAAATCCCAGATTACTGTCACAACCAATAGCCTATCCCTCGATGTTTTGCTTCAGAGCAGCCATATTTCAAATTGAGGTCAGTTTTGGCACACAGACTCTGTCAGCTGAAATCAAATGTAATCGGGAGGCAGTCCCATTTGATCCCAGGATTTCTCTTTGCGTAATAAGACACTGCATAAATTCTGTGAGGATTAAGCTATTTTCATAGCAGAAGCCCAGTCGCAGAGCATGAACGCTCAGAATAAGTGGAAGAGATATACAGATATCAAGGACATTTGGGAGTTTTGCAAGTTTGTCAGGCTTGACGTTTTGCGCACAGACTGGTTTGGCCTGGGACTTCCAGCACTGAGTTACAGCCAGCTACTTAAAGCATGCCCATACACACACTAAAAGGCCGGTTCACACTTCAAGCGAAAGCGAACACAAAACGCGAACTTATGGGGCCAGATAGCATATTCGTGCTGCGAATTCGCAACAGTTGAACACGTTTCAACTCGAGCCAAAAAATTCGCTTCCATTTTTTTTTGGCGTCAAATGCGCTTACTCTCACGTTCGTCGGTAGTATGAACCAGCCCAAATAAAGTATTTATGATATTGTTACTTTGTAAGTCGTAAGAACCCCGAATGTTCCATTTTAAAAGTCTCAAGTTAGTAAGTGATAAAAAGTCATTTAATGCGTAGAAGATTGTTTCCACAACTCAAAGGAGATATACTAACGTTCCCGGATAGGATAAACAATGTTCAAATTTCAAGGTACAAAATATATTGCATATGTACGGGTATTTTTGCCCTACATGATCGCCAACGTTGCTTATGCAATTTTAGTATTTTCTGTGCAAAATTAAAAACAAAAGGCACAACTGTGTTTCTACATTTCATACTGGTATGCGCCACTGTTGGAATGCTGAATATCACTTCAGAGACCTTCGTCGGTGAACATAATTCATAAGTGAAAAGTACAGGAGCCTGTCATAACGGTTTTAGAGTCTGCGGTAGCCTTCGAAATGTTGTTCAAAGTTAACTAGTGCATGGTATTTGCGTGGCTGCGGTCATGGCTAGCGAGCTTTCGCCCTCCACAGCGGCAGAAAATGGACTTACCAGATCCTGGCGGTGCTTGCCAAGTGTTAAACGCTTAATCTATGGATCAACGCTTTGCTTGATAGAATCATTTGGCTCGGTGGTGAGACAATACGAAGTCGCGTTTGAACCGACCAGATGACATAATTCGAGCTGAAATGACGGGAGGAATGTCTTTGTCGCTTTGTGGATTTCTGTGCTGTCTTTCTCTCTGTTGCTCAACATCAGTTGGTATATTTGTTAGTTTTACACTGTTTCGTCGTGAAGGAACTGCTTAACCCTAAACAGACTGGAGGACGTTCACTTTGACACCCCCCTGGAAATTTTGCGACTACTCCCAAACCACTGCAAACACTGACGTGTTCTTTCATGACTTTTCTCTTTGAAGTCTTGTGCAACTTTTGAAACTAACTTTGCGAAATCAAGACAAAAGGTTTTCAGGTTACGTGACAGTTGAGGATCAAAGGTCATCCCTAAACTGTGGCTTTTTCATTTGCATGTGTAGGAATAAATGGAAGTGTTATGCAAACTTACTGAAAAACATGCTTTCTTGCTATCAAGTTGTAGGTTCTCCGAACAGTGATTTTATATGATAATCCGTGTGTTCCGTTTTAAGCCAAAAGGCCTATAGGGCCCTAGGGTACTTTCGCCTTGAGTAACAAAAAAAGGAAAATATGCATAACATATGGGTACTTTATTTATTTAATATGAGTTGAATGAAGTTATTTATATAGACATAAATTTATTCTACTCTGTATAAAATTTCATCTCCGAGATCTTGGGGGTCAAGTTGACCCCCTATAGTAAAAAGATACTCCAGAAAAGCCCAGCGTGTGGGCCTCTAGCGAGCTGGTGTTTCATTTCAAAGCCAGTTCGGGGTGGATCCATCCAAAGCAAGGTCTCAGCTGTTCAATGACAAATGCCACTGATGCCTTTCATGGAGAAACATCCACGCTCGATATAGTTATTTGCAAGGTTTATTTCAAATTGAGCGAAGTATTTTGTCATTATTTTCATTATTGTACTTCACACCTCAAATCGTCGGGGTTTTTTCTTTTGTCCCGTCATTTTGGAATGCAGAGTACGTTTTGAAAGGTTCTTTGCCTTCTGCATTGGGAAATTGACTTCATGACCGACAGGCCCAATTTTCACAGAAGCGGCGTCAAAATGTGCGTAAGGTGAAACACACATAATGGCGTCAAAAACCCGCTGTGTGGCTGTGATTTCAGAGATTAAAGCAGTGGCGGAGGAGGCAGGGACCAAGCAGGATATGCCCCCCCCCCGGTTTTGACTAAGGGAATTCCTGACTCCATTCTTGATAGATCCTTTAATGGGGCGGGGCTTCATGGATCGGCCTACTGATGGCTAATGTCTGATAGTCTAACAGATGACCCCTACCTTGAAAATCGTTCCGCCACCGTTGGTGTAAAGGGAGCCCCAACCCTTGAATGGTTTTCAAGAGCGAAAATGTCGTTTGTTTCGTCCATGTTTATGAAAGGTATACAATGCTGTTAAGAACATGATCAAGGTTAACCTCCAAACAACCCCCATTTTGTCGAGGACGCGGTGTCCTCTATTGCTCCCTCTCAACTTCACAATTGTCCCTTTCTTTCCTTCTCTTTTAAATTTCACAACATCTCACCCGGACACGTGACTCAGTCAGGTTGGTCCAGGCCGCGATCTCTTCCCGCGTGGACATGTCCGGGTAGCGGTTCCGGGCGAAGTTCCCCTCCAGCTCCTGCAGCTGCTGGCTGGTGAAATGCGTCCTCTGTCGGCGCTGCCGTCGCCTCTTGCCCGTCTCGCTCTCGTCCGAGTTCTCGGCACCGGAGTCCTTCCCTGCTGACTCCACGGACGTTTCCGCTGTAATCAGATTGAAATTTAGAAATTGGTAGCTTTTCCTTATGGAAAGTCATTTTTCATGTGCAGCGTCACCCAGCATCCTTACTTCGAAACGTCAATATGTTGGATGACGGGAGGCCAACTTTCAGATAGCTACTGACTTAATGTTCTACGGCAGTTTGGCATCGTGGCAAATTTTTAAACCTAAAAATAAAGAGCAAAGGGCATAGTGTCACTGAAAACTGTATACTTTCAACTAAGTAAATGAAGGCTACAATCATGCGCATAACCATGTGCAATCAACGACAGAAATCCGTCGCCAAATTTGCAAGACTCCGTGGCAGGAATATTCTGTGTGCGGTGGCGGATATGTTAGAGTGTAACTTATAGCAGTTTGTAGGGCATAACTTGAGGGAGAAGGTTTAATTCTTCACTTTAATGAAGGCATACACACTTTTAATACAGAAATAAATCTGCACATTTACATTTTTTTCATAGGGGGTGTCAGAGGTGTGTTTTGACAGCATTATAGAAATTCTTTTCCATCAGGAGTTGGAAAAATATCAACCTGTCGTCCCACTAGTCCCTGAGAGCTAGTTCTGTAAACAGTGAGTGATTTTCCCGTGTGCGCGCGGTAAAAACGTGGAGGAAGGATTTTGATCCACATCGGCAAGGTGAGCAAACTCCCGTCGTTCCTTTGGAAGAAATTCTTGATTTCATTATCGTTATTACATTTTAATTAACTTATCTGTGTAAAGATGTCACGTTATCATGGGCGTAAGTCCTGAGGGGATCATGGGGTATATGTCACCTCCACATTTTGGACCAGGGGGTGGGCTATTGAATCACCCCCCACGATTTTCTGTGAGAAAACGGTTTTTTAGGGCCGATCGTGAATTTTTTTTCGGACTTCCTATAACAGCCAGATATATTCAATAGCACTCAAAAAGGTACGACTATCAAAAAAGCCATAATATGCCGCTCTGACGTACTACTCTGTAGGAATGTAATACGCATAACAGATGTGCATCTGAATCATGAACATCGCCCCTATACAGACTCATAATTATGGTGCACCCCCCCAGTCTATGTGATAGGTGCGCGATCGTACATGCGGCGAGGTGATACTCACACTACCCTGTCCCCTCCCACTTTTCAAATTTCCATGGCCGGGCAAGTTATCTCTCCAGAATTCCACATCCGCCACCCACAACTTTCCGGCACAATTAAATTCACGCCACTGCACGTTATAAAACTACGTTGGGCATTATGAGATTCACAGTTTCTCTGATCGCCCCATCACACTCTGACAACCACCAGAACGACCCCGCTATCTTATAAAATTTCGTTCAAACGTTGCTAAGACGGGATGAAACATGGTTCTTTCAACATCGTTACTACGTTGCCGGCACGCGTGTGAAGTTCGCATTACGTTCTCAGGACTATTAAACTGAGTTCCGACTCTGCTTAGATGTAATCGGATCGTTCCACGATGTAAAAGACTTGGATACGATTGTACTGTGAGCTAAAAGGTCACTGTATGGTGGTAATACGTTGTTGCTGCATGCATAGCGTGTGTGGTATGCTTTTAGCGAGCCGCCGTCACGTTCCTCAGTGTTTCCTGTATGTACATTGGCTGAAACAATGCACTCCATCAGTTCTGTCTCCCAGTGGGAACGGAATGAGGCCCTTTTCCAATACTCGACTTGGGCTCCGTCTGAGGCTTCGTTCCCAAAACCAATACCCGATTGTGGGCATGAAGCGGCTCTCTTGCATTTCATTTGTGTTTTGTGGCACTATTAAACTAATTACTGCGCTTACAGCTTCAACGTCAGCTAGTTAAAAAACAGTTGAAGCCTGAGACGGAGCCGAAGTTGAGTACTGGAAAACGGCCTATAATTCTTCCCGATCGAGCTGCGCTTGTCCCACCAAGAACCTACTGCGATGCTGATGCGCCAAGACTACGTGTAGGCCTATGCGTCTTCAGGATAGGTTGTTATTACGCTGTCACTGTGACTGGAGGCCTCTACGACCATGTATGCTACGTAAATTTTGAGCATATGCCCCAAAATTTTGGCACAACCTCCCCGTCCATGAAGACTATACCATGCTGCTGTCACTTCTCACTGAGTTCTTACTAAGATCTCAAAACGATTGGCTACGCTCTCCCGATTTTTTGAGGACGTAGAACGGTCGTGTTTGAGTGCGATGGGGGATTTAGTTTTCGACGTACCCCAATAACTGGTTTGTTTCCGACCAGAGGCTGATCCACAGAAGAGAGCTGCAAATTGGGGAGGGGATCCCCAAGAGAGTTTGCCTTCATATAAAATCAGAGGAATTGAACGAGCCAGGACTTCAAAGTGGTACACAGGCATCTAACCCTTGCCTGGGTTTAGAAACTTCTGTCGAGTTATTCTCATGGAAATAGTACTGCTGTCTATAAACTGGACATGTTACTGCTTCCGATTTCGATTTTCGATTAATAAGAATTGAAGGGAACAGTTCGGGATTCCTGCGCAGAAGCACAACTGGCGGAGTGATTTAACTTATTCGAAAACTCCAGTACGCATAACACAATCAGGGTAACCCACGTCATTCTTTGAATGACATTTAGAATAATTATGCCAAATGTGCGAGATTTTTACATTTTAAATTGTTGGTTGTGCTTGTTTAGTTCTTAAATTTTTTTTGAGGGGGGGAGCATTGTTTTGGTTTCTCGTCTCGTCTCATCTCATCTCGTCTCATCTCGTCTCGTCTCGTCTTGTCCCTTTTGTCCTTTCCTTTATGGCAGATCCACCAGTGAATACATTTCATTTTGAAACTCTTCTTTGTTTTGAATCTTTGCTACTGTAGACGTAAGTCAAAAATGACCGGGATGAAAATTTGCTTCTATAGTCAGGACTCTGGCAAATCATTACTATGCAATGAGATACCTTTGAATGTACTTCGCTACGGGGGATACTATGCGACTGCTTAATTCTGCTGAAGAAGTCCCCCTTTCCAATAAATCTGAGCCAATATTGACCGTACAACCCAACGGGATTAAAAACAATCTCGGCTGGTTAAACATATGTACATTTTGAACACCCTAAAACATCGCGTTGCTTTTCATGCATATACATTGGTGAAACAGCGCATTTTGAGTTGGGTCCTACCTTTCTAGGGGAATGAATCTTTCATTGATGAAGTTCGCTCTCCTTAAGATCGGTGAATTTTTATCCAAGGTTTATCCTCCAGCGAAACGGCAAAACAAACATTCGTGAGCAAACGGCTAAGTCCATTTCCCGGTCTCGGCGCAGTATTTATACCCAAAGTCCTCTCCTGCATAACTTTGCAATTTGATGTGGCATTTAGCTTTGCGGTTGTCGCTCAAAAAAAAAAAAAAGAAACAGACAAAACTCGAATGGCATTCGGTGAAATGCCGGGCCCCGTGTAAAAATGTGCTGAAACGTCCCCCGGTCAGTGGAAGTCCACAACTGCTTTCAATTCGGCGGGAGCAAGTTGTGGGGTTTCTTTGACTATTACCCTTGATGCATTTGTGAGAAGTGAGGCTGTAAGTATTTCATGGGGTTTTGCAGACAGTTGGCAGGAAATGAAAGAGTCTCAACAGATTCTTATACTTTTTTGAGGGGTTGTGCCCCCCCCTCCATTGTCACAAGTATAAGTGTTTAAAGAGCTAGTTTTCAACGCTAAATGTTTCAGAAAGATAAAACCCCCATCTCGGTGACAATCGAAAGCAAGCATCCTCGTTTATTTTAGTATGTATTCCTCATAACTTGAAAGAGGAATTATTTTGATTTAAACCGTCACCGAATGTCCAGAAAAACAACACTATTTACTCAAACCCCGACGTTATGCCCCCCATCAACTTGACACGACGCTCGAGTAAGGCAAAAATATCTGGAAAACAAAACTTCACACTCTTCTTAAGCTTCAGATAAATACTGCAAGCCCCATTACTGATCAGCCTCACGTTGGTTGTTTTTTAATTCCAGCTCAAAACCGTCCCACGGGAAGGTGCGCTAGTCCACTGGGCCTTATGCATGTTAGAACTTTGATCCAAGTTACCATGGTGACAAATTGAAAAGTGAGCCCACGTTTCTTAAGTTTGCAGGCCGTACATCATCTTAAAGAGGAAGGGAAATTTTGACAATCACGCCAGGGAAGATTTCGAGTCTTTATTGGCTCAACACGACTCTTATTTAATTAAGAAGTCTCTTTGTTATTTTTATCATTTTTGTTTGAACTGATCTTGCTATTGTCAACTGGATGCCAACTGCGCGTGCGCGCAACCAAAATTCTCGCAGTTTTTATTTTAAAAAATCAAATAGTCCAATTATTTTCATTAAACCTTTATACTTACTTGATATTGACCTGGGTACACTTTCGAGACATTAGGGAACGATAGACAGGGCGAAATATCTTCAACGTTTTAAGTACATTGCCAACCAAAACCGTGCTAAGAAGTAAGCCATTAGGCTGGAATTTTCGTTTAACTTTATAATAACTGCATTGGAGGCATTCAAGCCAGCAATGTACTTTAAAACGCTGTAATGACTAGGATGATGTTATATATGTTAAACTGACAGACACACTTGTAGAAATATCCATTACCTGTTTTTCAGTTAGTTACTTCATTACTATTTGTAGTGAACTTGTTTTGCCAAAAACGCATGCGTAATTACACAAGGTAATGCACAAAATTACACACTCCATTCTTGATTAACACGGCCCGCAGTCAACGAAAGTGAAGCATTCATAGAGAACCTTTCTGAGTAGTCGCCTTAACCTCCCCGATCGTTAAGCAGCAAAATAAGACTGAACAAACGCAGACCGTTATTTGTTCAATGACAGGAGGGAAAATGCGACAAGGTGGAAGTATTTCAGTACTTAAGGATGTCTACACATACATGGAGGCGAGGAACCGTTAAGAGCATGACATTTCTCTGTGGTCATCTTTGGCAAAGAAGATTATAGTGCATGTGTTAAATACATGTAATACTTTTCAATTTTTACTGACACGAAAACAATCAAGATTGTAATAAGCTTCTCAAATTAACAATGCCTATTTTAAATAGTAGACAGACTAAATATTGCATGATGGCTCTTAATCAAGTTAACTAGCAATACTGTTTACAGAGTTAAATACCTCGTGTCGATCTTTCTCGGCTACCGGCATTAACCCTGTTACTCCATGCCGACCCATGGGATCCTTCGGCGCTCGAGACTCCATGACGGGAGAGGTGGTTTCCGCTACCTCCGTCGCCGCTCACAACCTTTTCCACCACGCCACGAGGTAGTCTGCCCGCCGTCCTGAGCGCATCCGTCCCGGCGTATGTCTCCAGTGCTGACAGCGGAGCGCTTAAAATCTCCATGGTATCTCGAGGAAAAAGCTCCAGTATCTAGATGATCAGGCTAGATTAAGGTGACTCTAGACCACCAGCTTCGCCCGGCTTAGCTTGCACTCAACGGAGGAGGGAAGCTTCTGTGCGAAAGCTGAGGGATAAGACCACAATCGTGGGCCGAGGCTCAACTCTTAAACCCCCCACTAGCCCGACAAGCCAGCACGGTACAAGTCCAAACAGTCGAACTTGCGTTTGTAAATTGGGTTCTTCTCTCGCGTCACGCACGTGTGTGTATGCACGGTCAGGTCATTGCATTAAGCTAGCAAATTTTTCTCTTCGTATTCTCACCTGAAAAAAACTCTGCCCTTCGAACAAAGACCACCTGAATATTGTCAAAGAAGAGGTTTTTTAATGCGAAGGTGAACGACAGAATATGCCAGTCTCCTTTTTGTCGCTTGATTTGAATTTGACATGTACAAGCCAAGTAGACAATTCTAAACTTTCAATCGGCGCCCATATTTCTTTTCCGCTCGCAGCAAATGTCACGTTCAGTCTGTTGGCTGAGGGCCAGATTACGCATGCGCACGTTGAAGCCTAGAGTCCCTTTTCAGGATATGAGCATGCGCACAAGGTCTAGTCGCTTGCACTTTTAAAATGGGCCAGTGACGGCTTGCAATGCCTTACAACTGACTGAAGGAAACTTGCAATTCAGACCCAAAAATAACACACTGAAAGTGAAGTGTTTCCCAAGATATTGGCTGTGTCAAGGATCACAACTGAACGTGCAACCTACAGGGCGCATGTGTGCGGCAAATTATACCACAGTACTCCATTCTTCGCTGTGTCTGGATTCCATGCTATGATTATTTCGGTATGAGACTTAAAAAGATGGCCATTATTGCATCACAAAATTCTTATTGTACACTGCAATTAAAATCGGAACTCAAAAGTTCTAAAATATTTCTGCCATCGATTTGTTCACGCGTCTTGTGTGTCCATGTTTTCTTCTGCATTACAAAAAAAGAGAGATTAAATAAATCATCGAAACAAAATTAAATTAATGTAAACTGTCCACCCTGATTGTTATTTAAGGATTCAGAAATTACATTTTTAAGAAGCTGACGAGTTGATTTGGTTAGTCCAAACTGAAAAGACAAGCAGCAATTATCTTCATGAAAGCTTGCTCGGTGAAAATAAGGCGACAGGAGGGCGCCATTTCAGTTTGACCGTTCATCGATCATCCTCCTGTTTGTAAAAAATGAAATGAAATCAACAGGGGGCGCTATGTATTGATATGCGACTGCGCTAATTAATGCAGTTTGCATGTCCTCTATTAATTTGAGGGCTTTGCAGTCTATGTATTGGAGGGTTTGTTAATTAAAAAAGTTTAGCTTTGAACAGGGCTGTGAGCTGGTATTCTTCAGGAATTTGGATGAAATTGGAATCTGAATCTGGCCTATTTTGCAATGAAGTGAAGAGCTACGCATAGCTGTGTTTCTCCGAACTGCCTTAGGGATACTTTAAATGTGATCACCGTTGCTGGTAAATTACACCCATTAGTGATCGAATTACCTCCCCTTAAATTAGAAACAAAAGGCAAGGCTGAACAGCGATACTTTCTAATGCAGCGTGAGCTTGTCACGTGCCCATCATTAAATAATAACATCAACGTGCCTCTGTTTCAAATTCCTTTTTTTTCTGAATGAAAACCTTTTTATCACTTTCCGAAATGCGTAGAAAACGTTTTGGGTATTGCTTAATCAATGATGGCAACTCTGAGATAGTCTTAGCAGACCAGTCGTTTGTGTAAAATCTCTAGCAAAATGAGCCTTCGCAAATGCAGAGACTGCGAAATTGATAACTTTCACTGAAGGAGTCATTAATTTTTTTTAGAAAGTGTAGGCCTAGTCATTTTGCTGCCGTACGGTATTCTTTGATCTTTGTGCCATCTTTTATCTCAAATAAGTGATGCTTTAAAACGGTTATTGTTTACAATTCCGTTGAAACGACAGCGAAAACCAATTTATTGGTCATAAAATCATTGTCGCGGCCTTGAAGGATAGGCCATCGTTGTCATGATTGCCACTGTTGCCGACACGATCCGCGTTATCACGGATCAGAGTTGAACCCACCCATTTTCAAACTTGTTAGACAAACAGAGAGGTTATCATATTACGGGAAGTGTAAATACAAACTTTGATAGCATTGCCCGAAATTAGTCCTCCTGTTATCTAAGGCCGCTTGATGAGCCCCCCGCCTCTTAAAACCTCTTGAAATGGATTTTATTGCTCGCTTTGTCAGGTCACGTTGGTGCTGAATTGATTTAACCAAGTCGATTCACCATTTTGTAAGAAAAATTACGCGAAAGCGGAATGTAACACGAGCACACATCAATCGCTTCAAATGAGCACGTCACAGTTCGGAAAGTCTTGCAGATTGACCAGCTATGCCAAATTCTACGATGCAGAGGGTTTTTTTCTTAAACAACGAGCTTTTCAAATTACAATTTTAAGAAGCTGACGAGTTGATTTGGTTAGTCCAAACTGGAAACACACGCAGCAATTATCTTAATGAAAGCTTGCTCGTTGAAAATAAGGTGACATGAGGGCGCCATTTCAGTTTTACCGTTCATCGATCATATGCAAAATTTTACGATGCAGAGGTTTTTTTTTTCTTAAACAACGAGCTTTTCAAATGTTATTTTGAAGATGTCCCAACCTTATTTAGAGATGTATCGGCCGATCAAAAAACGAGAGCACTTGGCGTGTCTGATTTATGTTGCTTCGGCTTTTTAATGACCACAGGCAGCCATGTAAGGCGCTAGCAAATAGCTTTAGGCATTCCACCTATAGATGCATGTCTTATTTCCGAACACTGTTTCCCATGGAGGCAAACTATAGTTCAGTAGAAAAGTTTAAGCATTGGGTTTTGCACGACTAGTTGTGAAACAGTGTTGTCTCTCAACTACCCGGTCTTCTTATAAAAGCGTCTCCAGTAGGTTGCTTCGTCACTAAGAAATTTGGAATCGCGGTCAGACAGTATGTTACTCCGGCAGGTTTCATTAATAAAAGGAAAACGTGAAAAAAATCGCATCCGATCAAGTGTGTTTATTCCCCAATCGATCTACTTTTATTAAACTGATTTCATTTCGCAAGTCTTCTAAAGCTCAACCATGTGGTTTGTTATTTTTACAAGCACGAAAACATAAAACAAAGTCGCTCTTTTTTTTTACTGCAAGGTTGTTCCGGATATATTAACAGTTGTTAATTCATCTGCGATGATATTTTAATTTAACTAATTCCTGTTGAATTTTTAATACATCTACTTACTAGTAAATGTCGTGCTCCATTCAGAAGGACATGCGCGATCCCCCCCCCGACAACTCACCATGAAACAGATGGCTTAATTACGCTATTTTGCCACAACAGACGAAAAGGTCGGTGCACTGAACTTCAGTTTCATGTGTTTGAATCTGCAGTGCTTGGCGGTTTAAAATTTGCCGTAGGTGAGACTCCACTGGCAACTGAAGGACAGGGGCAAGTCTAGTTCCTTATCGAGCGGATCAGTATTATAAGGCCACTTCAAATATAAAGACCAAGCAACTCGTTTACAACTTGCCAGTGTTGGTTATGGGTCAGTGCCACTCAGCGGCACAAGCGGATCGACTCGCGTGCAGTAGATGACTGGTTGAAAACCAATACACAGACTGATGCTTACATTTCAAATTTCATTTTGAAAAAGACGTCCATCGCGAACTCATCAAAATGGGAGCTAGCGATGAACTGAAATTGAATGGCATGGAAATAGATGAAAACGGGAGCTACTCCCCGCCTGAAAAGGGTGGGGTACACTGCCGTATGAGTCAGATCGCTGCTGCCGTGGTCCTGGTTCTCGTGTTGTGTACGGCTGTTGGCCTCATGGCGGGCCTTCTCCCGCAGTGTGAAGTTCCACAGGTTGAACCCATCAAAGGCACCTCGCCGAAACCAGAGCCGCCGATGAAGACCACAAAAATGCCGCCGATGAGCACCAAGAAACCAATGATGACCACCGACGCGCCGGCAACGACGCCCACCCCGTGCCTGGAACCCTGGTGTAACCTTAGACTGCCTTCTGCCATCTACCCGGAACACTACAAGTTGCTGCTCTACCCAGATCTGGACACCGCTAACTTCACCGGCACGGTGGATATCGACATCGTGGTCAAGGAAGCCATCAGGTTTCCACGACTCCACATCAAGGAGATGATCATCCACTCGTCTCAGATTAGGCCTGCGGTGGAATCCGGCTCCACACCGGCACCAGCTCTGGAGGTTGTCCGGTCTTTCGAGTATGTTCCTAATCAGTTCTACGTGATGGAGATGAAGGACGATCTGATGCCAGGGAACTACGTCTGGAGCTTGGAGTTCCAGGGATATCTGCAACCAAACCGTGTGGGGTTCTACCTGAGCACTTACACCAATGAAAAGGGTGAAAAAAGGTAAGACCATACCGCCACCTGTATGATTAGGCCGAGGCCGAATCATAATGGCTGTGGCTTGAGATTACATGAGACTACAGGAACTGCCTGCAGCCACTGCCGTGGACCTGTGCGTAAATTTGTAGCCGCAGCCATAGAGATCATTAAAGTAAAGCTAAAGGGGTTAGGCCCGTTCCTGTACATGTACGCTACGCCAAGTTTGCCCCGCATATAGTGATGATAGTAAAGCTAGAGGTGTCAGGCCCATTCTTGTACGTTACGCCAAGTTTGCCTTATCGAACAGAGCGACATGATGTTCTACTATTACTCGACCATGTAACACCACTCACGAGATCACGCGTACTAAGTTGCTTCTTGCGTAATGGTGCATCACCTCTTGTTCTACTTACCTCTACGGTTTGCCTATTCATCTCTATTGTATAGACTGGATAGGATATCGCGTCCAAAATGCATCCCGCGTATTCGTATTTTCAGGAGGGTAAATAACGAGCGTTGCGAATTTGGTTGCGTAGGCCTACACTTTCAAACGGATATTTTTCAAGAACTGGTTGAGGTTAATGTACGTCGGTCGTCACATTTCGAAGAAAAACTGAATTCTGGACAAATTTTGGAAAGACTTATGGTTGAGGTATGCACAGCAGTGAATTGCCAGAGATCAATGAATCACGTTTGGAAGAAGGAGCAGCTTTTCACATGTGAGTAGCATTTACAAAAAGTTCCTACATGCCTTGTACTCTATAATTCTTGAATTTGTATAGTATGCCAGTCTATTTAGCTTATCAGGCTTAGTAGGCCTATATGAGTCTTCACTATGTCGAAGTTGGGACCCTCTGAAATGTTACTTATTGGCTAAAGTGGTTTCAATAACTGAATGATTAATTTGTCGTTCATTTCCCCTAGATTTCAAAAATTCCAAGAATGCAGACGCATTGAACCCAGATCGAGTGACAGACGATGTGATATCAAGTGACAGATTCCTTCAGGGGAGAGATGAAATCAATAAGACGAGATGCAGAGACCTGGCGTTTCCGTTGAATGAAGTAACAAGCAAGGAAGGTCAAAGACAACGTAATGAATTTAAGAAAGAAACTTTGTCTAAATTATAAAATTATTTGTTCTCAGTTAACAGTGACTTTATTATGAAAGTAGTTTTTAAACATAAATCTTTGGTTAGTGAGTCAGTTTGGCTGTTCAGTTATAACTGCGCTCACTTTGTGCTCACCGAAAAGATTCTCACATTTCTGTATGTCACATGTCGGTTTTCAATCAATTTATTTAATATGTGAATGGATTTCCCTACATTTTTTTCCTGTGAGTGTGTAAACTTAAAATTAAGACTTAATTTCAGTTTTTGATGAATTTTTCAGTGTTGGCTCATCGAATCAGTACGGGAAAATAAGGTGGACAGTTTGGCATCCTAATCATTGGTAAACCTACATGTATATTGTCGGTCTTCGGGGAAATTTCAATTTTTTACACATTGAACAAATGACGAATGAAGTGACCCGTGGAAGGGAAAATATTGCCCAAGTAAGACCGTTGACAACAGCTGTGAAAAATTAATTTTAAAATAAAAATAAATGCACACATGCACAAAAAAAGGTTGATATTGTCGAGTAGGTTATTTAATAGGATAATGGTCTGGTGATTCCGCGGAAATGATATTCTTGCATTTTCTGTTATTTTTACTTGTTTTTGCGAGGGAGGCCCACAAGAAAAGGTTGTTTCAATGTTTCCCTAATGACCCATCTACCAGAAGGAGGCCGAATTTTACAGTCCAAATTTGGAGATGATAGCTTAGGGTCTAAATTGAAAACATACAAAGTTTGGTTCAGATCAGATCAGGGAATATTTACTTATGTGACACTAAAGTTTGTGCACGTTCTTATGGGAATGTCTCCCAAGTGACCCATTTTTGTCAATGAAAGATTCACCAAAGCATCCACTGACTTAGGCCTGCCTTTTTGAGGCAGGAATGGGGGGGGGTTCAGTATTGCACCAACATACACGATATTGGATACTGTTTTTAGGGAGATGATTCTACGGGTCGACGGTCTTTCCTAGTAATGCAACTGAACGTTTTCTCTGATAGATTTAAACTTTCGTTTATTGACCTGTAGATGTTACTAGCCATTCTCCGAGGCTGAATCTTCTACAGCGTGTAAAACGCCAATGATCAACTTCGGTTTCGTCTGTGAGACATTTAAGGTATTGCATGTATTACAGGTTATTGGTGTGTATGGTTCCATTGACAATCAAGCCGACAGTGACAAGTCTATACTCTTATCAGGTTAATGGGTTTTAAGGCCACTTTGGACATGGTGCCATCGTTTCCAACTTGGCCAGTGTTGCTTGCAGTAGGGAATATCCACTTGTATCCAGTGGGTGATCAGTGATAGACGTAAAAATTGATGCTGCAATTCAGCATTCCTGTTAGGAAAAATACTTAGTCGAGGTGCTCCGAAGTAGAGGTTCGGTTCTTTTACAAACGCATCAACATGGATGGCGAGAAGTTTAAAAACATGGAAATAGATGAAAACGGGAGCTACAAACACGTAAAGGGCGGAATATTCGTCAGTAAGATTCAGATAGCAGCGTTCGTGGGCCTAGCACTCTTGCTGTGTACAGCTGTCGGTCTCATGGCGGGGCTTATACCGCAGCGTGGCGTCCCAAACGGCGAACCCACCCCTAGCCCTTCGGCTAAACCAGAGCCCCCAATGGAAACCACAAAGATGCCAACGACGACCACCAAGAAACCGACAGTTAGGCCTACCACCAAGAAACCGACAGTGACTACCAGCAAACCGATGATGACCACAAACCGACCAGCAACCACGCCCACCCCTTGCGTGGATCCCTGGTGTAATCTACGCCTTCCCTCTGCCATCTACCCGGAACACTACAAGTTGCTGCTCTACCCAGACCTGGACACCGCTAACTTCACCGGCACGGTGGATATCGACATCGTGGTCAAGGAAGCCATCAGGTTTCCACGACTCCACATCAACAAGATGATCATCCACTCGTCTCAGATTAGGCCTGCCGTGGAATCCGGCTCCACACCGGCACCAGCTCTGGAGGTTGTCCGGTCTTTCGAGTATGTTCCTAATCAGTTCTACGTGATGGAGATGAAGGACGATCTGATGCCAGGGAACTACGTCTGGAGCTTAGAGTTCCAGGGATATCTGCAACCAAACCGTGTGGGGTTCTACCTAAGCACTTACACCAATGAAAAGGGTGAAAAAAGGTAAGACCATATTACCGCGTATAATTATGAAGGCTCTCTGACACCTAGGAATAATGTTAAGATTATATTTAGAGCTTGGATTTTCTTGGAATGTACTACCAAGCCGAGTAGGGGCCTACCATAAGCACTAGTAAGACCGAGATCATGGAAATGCACGTTAAAAGGCATGTCTATAGCCTACCATTCAAGACTTCTCGGCCGCCAACATGAGCAATATTTGTCTGTGTGAAACTTACCGCCCATCGCTCAGAGAGGACTTCAGGCAGGCCAAATTTCCCAAGATCCAAATGGATTTCATTAAGATTACAGCTGAAATTTCAGTCTTCTCTGGGATTAATTCTGACGATGCCAACATTGAGCTTTGACTCCAGGGGGGACTTGATCGAACAGAGTCAGGGGAATCAAGTTGGCGCACTGCCTCTTTCCTCGCGCCTTTCACCTTAGCTCCCTGGGTTCCATTTCCAGCTCGGCAGTCCTCCTGTGGATTGGGTTTTCAATACTAACCTGATTCTGTGGATATTACCCAGAATATTTGAAAACTGTAACTGCTTCTCTTTCTCCTTTCCAAGGGTTTCTTCAGGCCTGGGAGCTTCATTTCTTTCGGACATTTTTGAGGAATCTTTGGTTTCATTTCCAGAAGTACTTAATAAAAGCATAAGCTATGCTGTCTTCATATTTAGAGGGGTTGACCGGTTTTGACAATTTTGACCACAGGTTTAAAACTGCTCGGCCTTAAATTTTCAGCGAGGAACTGGAAGAAGAAATGCGCTTCGTCTGTCAATACAGACCCGTCACCACTTCAAGCATTTTTTTAAAAAAATTATCATGGCGCCATGGGTTAAGTTTTTATTAAAGCCCCCCCCCAAAAAAAAGCAACTACAACAACTGCAACAAAAATAACAACGACAAAAATTACCCTTTTCCACTGAAAAATTCCGAGAAGAAATGATTCCACAGAACTATTTGGCTATTTGGATCTGGGCACATGCCCAAGATATTTTTAATCAGGATAATAATGCACAGTCATTTTGTATATTAAGCCCTTGTAACTCTATACGCGAGCAAACAAACAATTTAAACATGCACTAAACAAATTCAAGCAATAAGTTTATCGCCATTTACAAACCACCACCATTACATCAAATACTGAAGGTCAACGAGCAGAAATAGGCTACGCCTAGGGCACATACGCTGCTAGTCTAAGTTATCAAGTGCCTCATGACCCTTGAAAAGTGGACTTGCCCGAGTCTCACGAGTACGGTAATTTTTGAAGTACCTCCCCTTGAGAAATCACCTTGGGATCTTTCTTTAGTGCCACAGCTTAAGAACAAGATTTTCCTCTGCTCTCTGGGGCACAATTCTGCATAGGTGCAGTCAAGCTTGCCGGTATCGGTCACCCTCTCGTAAGTTTTTCGGGAAATTAGAGAATCAGTTTATCTTGAACATAACCTGCACGTTCTGCAAACAGCCGATGTGAGCGACGCTTTATTTCTCCCAAGAGTTTTAAAAAAACATACCGATTCCACAGCCCCACAAATCGCGTATTATCAACACACGGCCTCCCACAGAAAGTTCGACTTTGTCACTATCACATGTCTTTAGGGGCGTGGTTTCAGCTAACCGCCTTATTCATAGTTGCATCTTGTTCAAAACCCATAGAGAGTTGCCACATGGGTCATGTTTTGTTTACTTGGGTCATAGTTTACAACTGTTCACAGGACTCTTCGTTTAATTGATTTTTTTCAGGCAACCATATTTCTCTAAGACAAGGCCACAAGCACATCTCACAACTATGAAAAACCTGGCATACTGCATGATGTTACTGTCGACCTTGCATACATGTTGCTGCTCGCAATTTCAGTCTACATGTAATGGGGTGGGAAAACTACTAATTCTATATATTTAAAGCTCCTCAAAGCAGTCCATTTCGTCAGTTTTTTTCTCTCGTGAAGTCAACATGGAAACCGCGTCTAAACTCATGGATCTTCGACGCACGTCTGTACACATTTGCAATGCTGGTGTTTATGGAAACGACATTCAGTTGAGCAGTATTAGCTGGCGCTACTGTGAGTAATTACAATGTAGTGACGTACTGTCGCAAAGAAGGGCCTTGGCCACGACTGCCACAGCTTGAAGTCCCCTCACAGATGGTTAATTCGATTTGAAGTCAAGGTTAGCGAGGAGGTCAAACTCTTTCAGCATAATAATATATTGCAGACAGCTCGATGGCACCATGGAACTTCCAAGGAAAGAGTGCGTGGCACACGAATTGAGGTTCTCCGACACCTCTATGGACGAGGTGTCAGACGGAAGTGACAAGGACAGTGACAGGGAGAAAAGAGGAGTCTACGTCCGTAGGAGCCAGATTGTGGCTGCTGTCATCCTGGTACTTATGGTGGCGGCAGTCGTGGGACTGTTGGTGGGCTACTTGCCCGAGTGCGAGACGACTACCGAGACTACAAAGCCTAGGCCGACGGTCACAACGCCTGCGCCCACCCCGCCGTGTCTAGATCCCTGGTGTAACCTTCGACTGCCTTCTGCTATCTACCCGGAACACTACAAGTTGCTGCTCTACCCAGACCTAGACACAGGTAACTTCACCGGCGCGGTAGATATCGACATCGTGGTCGAGGAAGCCATCAAGTTTCCACGACTCCACATCAACAAGATGATCATCCACTCGTCTCAGATTAGGCCTGCCGTGGAATCCGGCTCCACACCGGCACCAGCTCTGGAGGTAGTCCGGTCTTTCGAGTATGTTCCTAATCAGTTCTACGTGATGGAGATGAAGGACGATCTGATGCCAGGGAACTACGTCTGGAGCTTGGAGTTCCAGGGATATCTTCAACCGCAGCGCACAGGGTTCTATCTGAGCACTTACACCAACGAAAAGGGTGAGAACAGGTAGGTACCATTAAGGATATTATTCCACCCAAATCGCGTTTCAGTTTCGGGATCCTCGCGTTTTATAAAGGATAGAGCACAGAGGGTCTTTTTAAAAAAATATAACCACCTCGTGGATTTTAAACAGCATGCTTTGAAGGTTACTAGGTTGCCGGTGTGGATAAAAAACTCATGATATTACGCCATCAACATTACTAAATGATGACATGAACTGAATGCAGTTAACCAAGGAAACGAAAAGAAGAGGCAAAGTTGACGAACAGTCGGGTAACGTATAGCAAGAGGTTACGTAAATCTGTCACAATTAAATTTTTTTTGTCTTCAGAATAATATAATTACGTAGTTACGTAGTTACGTAAATACGTAAACTTTAATCAATTAAAGTTATTAAAGCAAACCTAAATCAAACTAACTTACACGCACCCGTCAAAAACCGGCCACATTGAACATACAACGACATGTAATATATTCGCTAATTGTGATCGTTTGCCTGAATTTCCTGTTTTTTACATCATCGAGGAATTCCTCCATATTTACATTGAGGTCTCGACCTTACAGTGAACGGTTACTTTGATGGCCGGGGTGGAAACTTGGCGTGCAGTTTTCATGCCAGTTCAATCATTGAATTAGTCCCACTGGGTCTCTGTGGTATGCCGTGGGGTCGTGCACTTTCCGACTGAGAACGGGGGTTTCTGCAGCTGTCCCATTGAGTTGAAAGTTAGCTTCGATATCACCTGAGTGCAGCAGGACGCGTGTGCTTGGGAGTGGTAGGGACAAAATGAAACAAGGAGGCTTGTCCCCTTGGTGAGATGGCGACACACATCTGGTCTTTCTCAAGTCTGTACTTTTCCCTTCTCTGTTTTCGTATTTTTTACGTGTCAATAATTCAAAGACGTCGGTGATTGAACCGGTCGACCAGGAAGACGCAAACTTAGTTGCTTGAATAAGACCCAACTGCGCAAACCGGCGTTGGCAGGGCAGGTGGATCTGTATACAGACGGTTTCAGTTGGGGTTGTATTGGTGTATTTGCGTCAACCAGACAAAAGCCAAGTATGGATACACGGACGTATGGCTGAAAGTACAGGAACGTGGTGTGGGAACTAATGTTTGCTCTAGAATGTATGATTAACCACGCAGGTCTTGCGTCAGGGTTCTCTAACAGATGTAAATAAAACTTGCTTGAAACTTTGGACTGGATTTCTGGATGAACTTTGGTCAGCCTTGTCCGTTATCGCGTCTGCACTCCAGTGCCAGGCAGTGACTTGCTATCTTTTATTCAGTGGTGAAATAATCCGTGTGTAGATGGGATAAAGTTTTGTCAACAGGCAAGCTGATGATGGTGAGCTGGTGATGCAATTCTCGTCCCTGGGTGCCTTTTCTGCACTGTGGCATTCAGTGGCTTGGAGGCTCCAATAGAATTCAAGGCTGTGTAATATTTCCGAAGAACTTGATTCCAAGGTTTTGAACCTTGAGTCAAGGGTGTAAATCACGGGGGATGGGGTATATACCCCCCACCCACACAGGCACACGCTTTTTGTTGTGAGCAAAAAATAAAAGCGGACTGTGAACAAGTTTGCCGCCTTGAAAAAAGAAAAAAAAAACAATTTTTAAGAGCCCTAAATGTGCCATTCTGAATACATATTACAGGTGTACATCACTATCATGGACATCGACCTGTTTTAGAGGCCCCCCATTGCGCCATTCCTTAAATTTCAATAAATGGCACTTGTTTGTTCCAATTTTCTATTGATGTGGTCCTGTTGGAGTTATTTGTGACTCACTGAAAACTATGTGACTTGAGATTTCATAGTTGTCTTTGTGACGCCACGAGTATAGCTTTTTATCGCTTACGATTATGTATAGCGCCCTCGTGCGAGATTGACATCGAAGTTTGTGCCGTAGATTTTGTTAGGCGTTTTCTGCGTTGTCGTCTGCACTTTTCGCAGCTGGATTGTGAACCCCGGCTGAGTTAAATTTGACTTAAGTGTTATACCCCTCCCGTGAGTGTGTTCAGGACTGTCAGTTTCTCAGAAAATATTCAGCTCTCTATAACCAAAACCAGCATAACAGAGAGTACAGCAGGTCAGTTCAAGAAAGTATGGAAGTGAACATACGGTGAGAAGTGAGCAATCTAACATGTCTAACGCTTTTGGCCTGCTTCATGGAATAAATTTTGAAAACAGGTTGTGTGAAGCGTTAGAGAAATATTTTTATTTATTTATTTATTTATTCTGATATCCAATTGCGGAGATCCGCCACTTACAGGTAGGGCCTATCATGGAAAACAAAACAAAAACAACTAAAAACAAAAACGGACTTACAGGTAAAAAAAAAGGGACAAATCCAAATTAACTCGTAAATAAATAAATAATTGTATAAACACAAACTTGAGCAAATACATACATTTAAGTTAGGTTAATTCAGTGTAAAACTGGCTAAACCTGTGGCAGTTTACATGTACATAGTTGAGTTATGAGTGCAAAGAACTTCTGTAAATCTCTGTACGGAACTGGTTCTTTCCTTGGTTCTTTCCTTTGAGTTTTCTGTGTCTGTTATCAGTAGTGGAGCGTTTGAAGTGCCTATTATAACATCACTGGGTCAGTTAGTAGTGATACTTAACGTTAGTTTTGTTAAACCGGATCGAGCTACTTTTAGTACTTGTGAAGTGCTGACAACATCCAGTTAGGAAATGAAAATCAAATTGTTAGCAGTGATACAGATGTTGCTACTGAAGCAGATATGATGTCTTAGCTGGAAGCAGACCTGTAGTTTCTTAACTCGCTTATGTCTTGATTAGGCCTACTAATAATATTATCTAACTTATCTATGTATTACACATAATTAAAATCCACATGTAATTCTGTTATAAATGATGTCAATATGGAAATAAATGTTGTTGCATCGTGTTGCGTTGCATTGCATTGTGTTGCGTTGCATTGTGTTGTGTTGCATTGCGTTGCATTGTGTTGCATTGCATGGCATTGCATTGCATTGCGTTGCGTTGCATTGCTTGATGTGAATACCTGGTAAAATAAAAATAAGCATCATTCACATTTGAAGGGGTTTTTCCACAGACTGGAGATATGCACATAGTGCTTGTTTTGTACTGCCCAAACCACACCGATATTTTTCTTCTCTTTATTTTTTCAGGAAAATGGCCACTAGCAAGTTTGAGCCCACCGATGCGCGTCGCGCATTCCCATGTTTCGATGAGCCTAACTTGAAGGCTAATTTTACCACCTCACTAGTGCGACCACAGACCCCTTACATTGCCCTCTCCAATATGAATGAAGTTGTAAGTGTTACAGTTCCCGTAAATCAAGAAAGGAGTAAGCCTAGTGTCTAGAACAACAAATGATCAGTTTTGATAACTGCTGTTTTGTCTCCTGTAGTCTATTCTATCGCAACTCCTGTTTCTTTGTATCAGAAGATACCGCAGATCCCTTTATTGTTTAAAGTTTACATCCCCCCAATAGATTGCTCAAAATTGTTGGAAGATGTTGAGAGATACATGGAAAGACAACTGATCACAGCTCCAACAAACTTTAACTTTTTCTAGTCTTTAAGCAGAGAGCTTTACAAAAAATACAGAACAACTACTTTCATATATTTGGCCAGACTGTCTTGGTTGTAAAGTCCTCCAGAATATTTTTATATAGCCTTGTAGTTGCTGGAGTTCATAGTTTCAAATCTTTTCATATCTATTCCACTCACACAGTCAGATGTACCAGTTTTGCAGATATGTTGAAGGTGTTTTGTGGTGCCCACTCCACAGAATATCCCAAAGCATTTCTCAGCACGCCTCAAATGAAGTTTGTATTTCTTGTTTTTTTTTCTTTTTCTTCCCCCTTTTCTGTGGCACAAACTAGAGTTCAACCCCTTATCTCAGCACAAACATGATCAAGACAGACTTTGCCCCCTCTGTGAAGATGAGCACATACTTGGCTTGCTTCATCGTCTGTGATTTCGAATTCAAGGAGTCATTCCTAAAGAGTGGCATTCCAGTAAGTTTGACAGACAGCCTAGGCTTCTTTTTGTTTTAAGGGTTACAACAGCATAACTGGATCTGCAATTTTGAAATTATTGAATGCTAATCTCACAGTATATCAGCTATGTTTGGAACAAAGTTCCTGAGTCCTTTCACCACAACAATTGCTATATCTTTCACAGTTCTGTGTGCGGGTGGACTCAGAACGAAAGACTTGGGAGCAAATATTGTTAATGCGTTTCTAGATCCTTCAGAGTTTTGATGCTAAATTTAGGGGCGTTTTACATGCTTTGAAAAGGAAGGAAAATGAACGACAATCCTGACCAAATCTCATTGGGCTCCCCCCCATCCCCAAACCCCTCTGCATGCTGGATCCCAAAGTGCGTGTGGTCTGTAGTCCTGCTTGAGATGGAAACAGTGACCGGGGGATTGGGGTACCTGGCGAGGGTATGGCAATTGATACATGTCCCAACACCTTTGGTCAGGATTGTAGTCCCCAACTGAAAAAAAGCCATTCTTTTTCCATAGGGCCATCCCTCTATTCCCCCTTGATCAGCCAGTGGCCCGGTATAAAGGGAGACTGGCCTCCAATCCTCATTATCTGCGAAGTCCTCTGGAACCTCTCAATCCGATATTAAGAAAATGGTTTTGTTAATGCCCGTGTTAATGCTAGTGTTTGAAAGTTAGAAAAGGTTGGAGCAGGATGAAACATTTGACTCCTTTGCTAACTTTTCCCCCTAGTTCAGAGTCTACGCTCCACCTCATCAAATCGATCAAGTGGATTATGCCCTGGAGCTTGGTGTCAATGTCACCGATTATTATGAGGACTATTATGATCTGGCTTACCCGTTGCCGAAATTGGGTAAGTTAATTGACAGTTAATTTTGACACTTCCCCAAAAGGGGTGTTTTAAACAAAGGTTCAGTATTGTTACCCTGGACCAACTCCTGAGCCGTTCACACACCAGCGGAGGAGTTCTTAGACACTTTTCTCTGGTTTTGTGGGTGCTAGGCCGTTTGTTCTAGGAACCTTTTGCCAATGTAACTGCCTTCTTACAACACTCTAATGCATGATCGTCTTCTACGTATGCAGCCTCTGGCACTGGGTTTTCTTGACTGACTAGCAAGGGCCCCGCGATACCGCTCTACAGTTGATCCATGCTACTGCCCTCTGCCGGCCAACAAACAGTATATGGATTTTGAAAAAATCAAAGCAAAACATTGATTTAAATGCATGGATTTAAAAATTAAATGAAACAATATGAATTACTTTCAAACTTTGGGCTTCCAGCAAAAAACACTGGACCTTAGGATTGAAGTTTTACTTACTATAAGTCGGTGTTCATTTACATGATTTAATATGCATTTTGTGAGTTAAATTCGAATAAAATTTGGTACGCTGAGTTAACTGATTTCACATTAACATAGCAATTTAAATTCCTCCAACTGAAGTCACTGTTGTGACTCATGGCAAGCTCTTGCATAGTGACCACCATCTCTGGAAAGGTCTGGTTCCTTTGTGCCCTTCTTTTCCACTGAAAAGAGTGTATTGGTGCAAGGTTTCCCTTACTTAACTAAGCAAAAGCCTGCCTGGAATCACGAGGTATAGCAACAGTGTCATTAGTATGGAGAATTCAAAAAGAACTCAGTGTACCAGATTTTATTCAAATTTAACTCGGAAAAGGCTCAGTATACCCCTTCTGAGTACAGCAGTTAGTCACATGATCCTGAATGTCTTTCAGAGAATTGGTCTGTGCAGCGTGTTAATTGACAAACTGTTTTAGGCTCTAATCATCACCAGCCAATCATGTACAACTCAACGTCAACAACACCAATCACATCAGACTTATCTGACAGTCATAATTCCACTCTAGAATGCAGGTGGCTAGTGCATAAAGTGCCCGCCTCTGACCGCTGCAGTCCTGGGTTCGATTCCCCTCCCCGGGCTATATGCGGGTAGAGCTGTTTGTTGATGCCCTCCTGTGCCAGATGTGTTCTTTTCTCTGGGTGCTTTGGTTGTCCTCGCTCTGCAGTAATCATCCCGTCTGATCTCATCTGGCTGTGCTCCATGATCAGATATGGGTCATTTGGCTCTTTAAACATGCCTTCAAGCATGACTACATTGTAACTTCGTCCTTCACAGTTCAACCTTACAGCACCTCCCAACAAAAAAAAAATAAAACAGGTTTTTGAGGTTTGAAAATTTCAGAAGTGTACCAACAGCCCAGGCATGGGAAGCAATGCAGTTATTACCAAATTCTGACCCTAGCTTCTCAACCCTGTGTCCCCTCTTCCCTGCAGACATGATAGCCATTCCAGACTTCACCTCGGGTGCTATGGAGCACTGGGGGCTGATCACCTACCGTGAGGTCTACCTGCTGTACTCAGAGACCGAATCCTCTGTCTCCAACAAGCAGAGAATTGCTGAGGTCGTGGCCCATGAATTGGCCCACCAGGTGAGCCCCGACGTCAGCTCCCTCCACCAGAAAAATGAAAATAGCCTTCTTCTTTTTGCCCCAAGTCTCCTCACATGTTTCCCCATTTTTATCAAAACTCTGTGTGTCAGGGGTGAAATTTGTCAGTATGTTTCCTGATTTTGGGGATTTTTTAATCAGGATTTTCCTGAGTTCGGATTTTTCAAACAATCTTGATCGTTAAACTCTGGAAAATCTTGATTTTACCATAAAGGTATTTTTACACTGAGCATAGGAAATGGGTATTTGAAGGGATGCCTTTAGACAAACACAAATGCATACCACAGACCCTACGTTGCCGTAGGGGCCCTCAAAATGTCTGTTGAGTATTTCAAGGATATTTCACTTTCCTCCATTATCACCCCTGGTTTTGTATTTTACTTGATAGGATGTTATTGTTTATCTGTCTGTTCTGAGTATTTACATTCTGGGTTTTTTTCTAAAGTGGTTTGGTAACATCGTGACAATGGATTGGTGGGATGATCTCTGGCTGAATGAGGGCTTTGCTAGCTACGTGGAGTACATTGGTGTGGATTACTGCCATCCTGATTGGCAAAAGGTATTGAAGACGAAGCCCCCCCCCCCGTGACCCATGGTATGGTCAGGTGAAACATGAAATGAGCAGTGGCTTTCAGCTAAGTCCTTTACAAGTCAGCTCACAAGTCTCTTGAATCTTGCTGTGAGAGACCTAAAATGACACGGAACTGGATGCCTTGGTCACGGTTTGATAGCTTGAAACTTGGCTGGAATGCTTTCACTCATGAGGAATTTTTTAAGGGGTTTAGGAATTGAATGCAGTTTGGAACAGCAGACTCTACTGGCTCTGCCCAGTCCGACCCCAACCTCATAACGGATACTTCTATCTCAGATGATTGCTAGTGCATGAGGAGTTAGTTACCTGAGCGGCGTGAAATTTGTGCACATGTGTAGGTATCGCCACCTTGCATTTCTATCAGGCCTTCTCCCGTCCCCTTCTCTTCCTGTGCAGATGTACCAATTCCTAAACCAGGACTTCTTCTACGTTATGGGTAACGACCAGATCGTCAGCTCACATCCCATCATCGTGGACCTACAGAACCCAGATCAGATCAATGAAGTCTTTGATTCCATCCCGTATAGCAAGGTTTGTCGGAAACTTACAGAGAATACACAAACTCAAAAGCAAACCCAATTCGACAAATTCCAGGTTGTAACAAATGCATGTCTTCTTCCTTTGTTATTTTTACAAAGGGTGCAAGCGTTCTTCGCATGTTGGATAGCATCGTTGGCACGGAAGCCTTCAAAACGGGTGTAGCGGTAAGACCTTCTGAATTTGATATTCAGAATATATAACAAAGTGTTGTGATTCTAGAACGATTGCAGTTTATGAAACTCAAGAATCTTCTGAAAAAACTGTAATTTTGACCTGCAAGTGCAGAATTCTCTGTTGTGTAAAACATTTATGAAGTCATCAGATGCGTACTTTCAGCAGAACTAAGAGTGATTATTTCTGTGGGTTTTTTTCCAGACTTACCTGAAAAAGTATGAGTACCAAAATGCTGTCAGTGATGATCTGTGGCGTGAAATTACAATTGTAAGTTCCGTTTTTTTTCCAACATTTATCAAATTTGGTCAACTTCAGATTTGATGATGATTTTTAGAACTCCTATTCGTCCTTGTTTCTTATGCCTCCAGTTTTGGAATTCCTGATACCTGTCAGAAACAAAAGACAATTTTGTTTGCCTAGACAGCCTAGTTGGGCAACCGGAATTAGAAGTCATTACTGCGGAGGGCATTAGGCTCACACACAGGTGGTTCTTGCGCTCTACATTCCTTTTTAGCCATTGGAGTGTCGCGATTTGGCAAAAGAGCATGCGCCTTGTGTAAAACAAACACGTATGGTTTCCGCCACTGAAATATTGCCATCTCCTTAGATCACCCGACCCTTGGTCTACTTTGCGGGGAATTGCCCACGTGCCTGTAAATAGAAATTTAAAAGGAAGGATTTTTATGAAGGTAAAGGATTCAAAAACTGAAACTAGGGTTCTCAGATGTAGTTAGCCCCGCATTTAACAAGAAGTCATCCATTTATGTGAACGTTTCATTGTTCCAGATGTCTGAAAATCACAAAACAAAGAAGCGGCTGAGTAAATGATAGGATACGAATATTTGAACAAGGGATATGCTGATATAAGTAAAGGCAGTAAAACGAAGAAGGCATGAACGTAGAAAACTTGTGTGGACGCAACTTATCTATCAATGATGGGAGTAACATGCGAAAGTCTTAACCATACATGCAGTATAAAGCCATCAGCTTTACATTACTTGACCTCAATCATATTGAAAGAAAACAAACGATTTAAAGAGAAAAAAAGACACTGACATAAGCAGATAGGCAGCAGAACAAGCCTCTGAAGATTGTGGCTGCAGGACTAACATAGAAATGAGGAGATAGGGAGGTGAGATTTGGACATATGCCAGGCGTAGAAAGAGTCAAGCACTGATAACATGGGATTTCTGGACCCTTTGCCAGAAACTGAGAAGCATGCAAACCTGAAGTGTGTCTCCTGCCATGTAGAGGCTGATACATCAGCAACATTGCTTTCAATAAAGCTCATTATATAATTTTGTGTCCTTAGGCAAGCCAGCAAAGAGGGAACGATATCAACGTGAAGCACATCATGGATTCCTGGACCCTACAGATGGGTTTCCCTGTGGTGACCCTCACCAAGACAGACACCGGTTCAGGACTGGTGTTTAACGCCCGGCAGGAATGGTTCTTAATCGACCCTAATGCTGACAAAAGCCAAGATTTATATGGCAGTCCCTTCAAGTAAGTACTTCCTTCGAAATGCGCTTCGAAATATCGAAACTTAATTGCCGTTCAGGCGCCAAGCTTTATAGCCCTAAACAGTCCTGAATCCTTCGATTTCAATATGATGTACATACAACCTAGGGGGTTAGGGTTAATCGTATTACTGCCTGTCTGTAGTCATTTTGACCTGCCAAATGTCAGGTTGACATAGGCGGACTTTCTTTCATCACCTTTGGACTCTCTGAAGTTGGTTTAAATCCCAGCTAGCTTTCCATGTTTCATAGATGTTTTCCTCTCAAAAGCTGACCATTTCTTCATTGCAGCCTTGGAATAAGTCTCTTCTTCCATCGGCAAGCATGGGCGTTACACAAACTGTGTGCACATGGGAGCATAGGTTTAGCTACCTCAAATAAATAATGTAAAAAGTGAAGACCACTGAGGAAATTTTTATTACAATAACGACATTCTAAACATTAAAGCCTCAATTGGGAAAGAATCACAATTGGGAAACCAATGATTTTTCACAGTGAAAACATACAGCATTTGTGTCAGATACCGTGGTGTCTGGACATTGCACACGTTGCCTTCAAAATTTGGAATGGATTATGGATGTGCAATGCAATTCTGAGTTACCATAGTAAGCACGGGCTTCTATTGTAAATACTTCAAGGCAAAGACAGTATAAAAGTTACTGAAAGACAAGACTTCATGCCAATAATTCGTAACAATAACTGCTGAATTGATGTCCAGGTTTCAGTACTCTATATTTGTTCCAAATTCCGAAAAACCTCTCAGCTGACCGTTCAAATCATCTTTGTGGAGGTCTGTAGGTATCTCTCTCATTTCATTCCAGTTATTTATACTATTCCTTTCCATCTCTATCGTTCCACTCACGCTTAGCTACACCTGGTATGTGCCACTTGATTTCTACTTTGAGACTGATCCAGTGACTGTTGTGTCTGTGCATATGAACTACTCGGGAGGTATGCATGCATTGTTCATAGTCCATATTTTCCGGTAGCAACAGGCTTCATAAATTCTTTTGCAATAAGCTGGAATAGATCCTTTTCTTCCTCTTATCATCAAGCTGCCTGCTGGGCCTGGTGAAGGAGCTATGACCCATCCGAGCAGTTTAAGCCGTGTATCATGCGCTGTTAATGTCCCTTCCCAGTTTGGATTTGATTGTTAGCATGGACCCCAGTCTGTCGACACACAATGGCAAGTAGGGGTGCCACGCCCCCGATTGTGTTCCCTTGCTCAGTTTCAACTACACCCATCATACCCGGCCCTCCTTTTTGACGCACCTCCCCTCCCTGGGCCAAGGCCAGCCTGCTGGAAATGGGGGGCTGTTTTGAATTACTGTGAAGTCAACCTCTGTGTGTCAAATGTACAATTGATTATGCATGAAAAGTGAAAAATTAAGATGAGTACTATGGAAGCATTGTTTTAATAATAATCTGACCCCACTCACCCCACCCCCATTCTGACTATGGGCCCGCCCCCATTCCCCAACATAATACAACAAGGCATTCACTGACATCCCTGATGAAGAAAATGACTTTCCTCACCCAGAGAGACGCATAAAACCTGGATTTATTAGACTTGTTCTACGCTGCCTTGAGCAGAAGCACTCCCCCCGCCCACATTGATGGGGAGTTCTCAGTTTGTTGGCAGCGACACAGCCGCAACGTGTGCATTTCATAGTCATTCATGAACAAGCTAAATGCAGTTCCCACCAAAGATCCATCCATCTATATACATTGCTAGGAAATAACTGACATTCAGTGTACGTAACAGCTTCGCGTGATTTATTTGTCGCACACAGTTGCATTTAACAGAGCATCCAGTGACAACGACAAATGGTACGTGGCTAACTACGGCGAGTATGGATTTTACCGCGTCAACTATGATCCAAATAACTGGAAGCTTCTAAGCAACCAGTTGGTTGCCAACCATTCTGTAAGTGCCAGTTCAACTGCCATGTGTCTATAGCAATCAAGGACAGTTTTGACACCAGTTGATATACCCAGCAAGAAATGAGACCAAGGGGTACCCCCCCAACATGTCCAATCCTA